AATTTACTAATTTTATTAATTTATGATAGGTTATTATATTATATTTGTTTATAATTTATTATATAAATAAATTTATTATAATTACTATTATATATTGTTATATCATTATAGTGATCATGTTACTTATTATAACTTTATAAATAAATATAGTAATTTATAAATAAATCAGTATGCATATTTATTCCCAAAATTTCAATACAGTAACTCTAATATACTAATGTATCAAAATAATAACATCATGGAATTAGAACTCTAAGAACTTTGAAAATTCTCCCATTGATTACTTAATAATAAGATTCAGTTATTTTCCATCTTTATTGATCTTTCCATTGTTTTCTTATCAAAGGCTATAACATTCATAGCATTTTGTTGATATATCTCAGCAACAAGGGCATAAGTTCTGCCTAATTCCATGCATTTCTGGCCTTCATTAACTTGAGGTCGATATCTTACACAGCGGTTATGGACAGAGGGGCTTGAATCAGACTGTGTCTTTTCAAATCCATGTTCCACTATTCATTTGGTGCATTTGGTGAACAGATTACTTATTCTAGTGTCTATTTTATCATCTGTAAAATACGACAATACTAATGCCTACCTTATAAGATTGATTTTAAGGTTAAATAAAAATTATTTGTGAGAAATACCAAGCACAATTTTATAACAAGTGTTTGATAAATGACTGCATTTGCATTATTACGTACTTAATATTATTAATTATTATACTTATCTGTTAAATCTCTGGTAATTTCCTAAAGGAGAAGAAAAAACACTGACTCAAGTAACTTAGAACATTTTGTAAATTTCTATAAGAAATTGTCTTTTGGATATGAATTACCATCTGGAGAAATATCTGGTGTCTGTACATGCTTGGAAGAAGGTATGCATAAAGTCGAAGAACATCAGATTCTTGCCCTGAAGAAAGCACGACATTGACCTTCCTTGCCCAAGAATGAATGATTAAAAAGTTGAAAAGGTCTGTTTGTACATCGTTCAGGCCTTCATCTGCAACTATCACGAAATATGGGTAACCCTCTTCCAGGAAACTTTCCCACTCTTCTGATAAGCACCCCGAAAATGTTGTTTGAACATCAATAGTGGTATTATTCTGAAGATGAAGAATTAAAGCAGTTCTCAAAGAAAGAAGTTCAGGGAAGTTGAAATAGGCATACTCAGCATCCTGTGGAGGAGGAGGTAAAGCACAATTTTATTTCAAAATTATCATTTAATCGTTTAGTTAGCTAGTGCATCCAGCAGTTGTGTTCTGTCTGCCTGTCAGGGAAATAGGGCCTTAAACTTTGACTGCCATCTCACAAATATTTGCCAAAAAAAAAAAAAAAAAAAAATCAGAGTTTGGATTTCAATGCATGTGTCTCCTTGAAGCAGACACTTAATACTCAGAGTTTGTCATCCTTACCCTTCCACTGTCTAATTCTTTTCCTCTCCAATCTCATTTCAGAAAGAAAAAGAACAGAAAGCCAGTGGTGGATGTAAATCATCTGTATCGGGAAGCTGAGATGAACCACTGTATTCTAGAGGATTGCTCCAGGCTACTCTGACCCTCCCGAAGCAACACAGATCGTCTCAGTATACCAAAATTAGGGCAGCCAACTAGACTACACACATTAGATCCGGAGCCTAGCTCTTTGTTCAAAACACTGCCGGCAAGCATTCAGCCACTGATTATGATTATGACTCAGTCTCACTCTGTCATCCAGGCTGGAGTGCAGTGGCATAATCATGGCTCAATGCAGTGTTGAACTCCTGGGTTCAAGTAATCCTCCCAGCTCAGCCTCCCAAAGTGCTGGGATTACAGACATGCACCACCGTGCCCAGCCAACAAAGCATTCTTAATGACTTTGCCTAGGTTCAGATATATTTTTCTCTGGGCTCATATAAACCACCTGCTGAGTTTTGAAGACAGAAGTAGTTTTCAGAGCAGGAGAACTAGAATCCAAAGTTCAACTGGGCCACTGTTAAGGAGCTTTCTCATCCTGTCTCATGATCCCGTGTGTCCTTACAATAAAGTTCTCTTCATTCAAATAAAACATAATCCTAAGTGTGGTCATTTCTGAATACTGAGATCGTGGGTAATTTTTTTTCTTTCCTTTAAAATTTCTGAACTTCTATAGCTATAATCTACTTTGTAATAAGAAAAATACATAAAATAATTTAGGAAATTTTAGTTTTAGTTCTCATATTATAAAAAAGAACTCAACTGACATGTTACCTTGAAGAAAACTACAGTAAATTGTCCTCCTTTGCTGATAAGATCCACAAGGTAGCGTTCAACCAGATAGAAGAAATGGAGGTTCTGCCCAGACTTAAATGATATCTCACAGATACATGTGATAAGTAATGAATCTCCATCAATCAAAAAAAATTCAGATTCAACAAAGTCATTGAATAAACTGGAATATCTAAAATGAAAAACAGTTAAAACAGAAATCACATATGCATTAAATACTGTTCCAAAAAGGCAGTAACATCATTATTATCCCATTATCATTATCATCGATAGCTCAATTTGCTGAGTTAATTGTCTCATGGCAGTGTCTACACTAAGGCTTTTCAAATATATGCACATGCACAACTATCCTTCACAGGAAGTAGGCAGCATTATTCACATCTTAGGCTCAGGGAGAGAGAGCAAATTATCTAAGGCCATATGGCGCAGCCTGATTGGATCAGGAATCTAGTACTTGTACCCTGCATGTAGGCCTAAATTATATTTATTTTCTGCTTAATCCATCTCATTCCCTTACATGTGGATTCACTGATGGCTACTGACAAATGTAGCAAGAGGAAACTGTTTCCACTCTCTATCAAATAGCTCTAAAAGTACTGTGTTGAACAATCATATATACGTATATATAATACTGTGCATAGTTATAACTATATTGTTATATATAATATTCTACACTATATATACTGATAGATCTTTTATATGTATATATATTACACATAGATAACATTGATATAAATACTGATATATATATCATATATGTATATATATACACACACTGTTATACTATATACTGTTGACCCTTGAACAACACAGGCTTGAACTGCACAGCTCCACTTATACATGGATTTTCTTTTTCAACAAATACATTAGAAAAATTTTTAAAAATTTGTTACTCTCAGACAAACCATGTAGCCTACAAATATGAAAAATAATTAACTATGTCATAAACACATAAACTATACATAGGAAGTCTATTTTAGCATTTAGTACCATGAAATATACACACATCTATTATAAAAGTTAAAATTTATCAAAACTTATGCACCCACTTAAGACTATACATGGCAACTTTCAGAGTTGAGAAATATGTAACCAAATGTTCAGCTGCACTATTAAATCATAACTACATAAAATTAACTACAGTATATATGGCACTACTGTAATAACTTTCTAACCACCTCCTGTTGTATGGTGGTGAGCAAGCAGTTCCTCTCCAGTAAACTGCTCTCCAATCACAATAAGAAGTGATCTCTCGTGGTTCTGGCATTATTTTTCATCATGTTTATTGAAATACCATAAACCTTAAATAAAACCATGGAACCCATATGAAGTGCCACTAGTGATGCCAGAAGTGTTCCCAAAAAGCAGAGACAGTCATGACATTACAAGAAAAATTTGAATTGCTTGAAATGGGTCAGGGATTGATGCTTTCAGCTATAGCTGCCCACCACTTCCAGATAAATGAACCTAAGGTAAGGACCATTGTAAGATAAATGTTTTAAAGAAATTAGTGAAGTCATTGTTGCAGCAGTCACAAATATCTTGTGGTTTTTTTGTGAACTCACATTGAAAATGGAGCTTTTATGTGAGTGGGGGATTGTCTAAAAAGGCAAACTGACAGGCTCTAATTTGATTCAAGAAAAAGCAAAGTAACTATTCAACAAAGCAAAAGGAAGACGAAAGAGCTAAAGCAGGAAAATCTAATGCCTGCACAGTACGGTTTGATCATTTTAGTAATACGTTTGGCTTTACAAATGTGAAGAGAACGAGAGAAGCAGCTTCAGCCAACCAAGAGGCAGAAGAAAATCACCAAGGGGAAAGGATATCTCCTTGAACAGGTTCTTAATGCAGATGAACGTGTCCTACTCTAGGGGAAAAAAAAAAAAAACAAAACTCACAAAGAATATTTATTAGTAGGAAAGAAAAGAAAAGTGAGCAGCAGGATTTAGGACAGGAAGGGACAGGCTAACTCTGTGCTGTGCAAAGGCAGTTGGTTTTCTCTTCAGGTTCGCCTTTATCTATAAAGCTGCTAACTCCTGAGACTTGAAGGGTAAAGATAAACACCAGCTGCCAGACTGCGAGTTGTACAATGAAAAGTTCTGGACAATAAGAACACATTTTCTGGATTAGTTTAATTGATACTTTGTCCCGGAAATCAGGAAGTACCTGGCCAGTAAGGGACTGCTTTTCAAAGTTCTTTTGATATTGGACAATGTCCCTGGCCACCTAGAACTACATAAATTGAACACCAAAGATGTTGAAGTGGTCTACTCGTCCTCAAACAAAATGTCTTTAATTCAGCCTTTAGATTAGAGGGCCAAAAGAACCATTAAGGCTCATTACACACAGTAATCTACGGAAAGAATCTATGGAATAGAACCCTGATAGAGAGGGCATCATGAAAGTCTGGGAGGATTGTGCCAGTGAAGATGTCACTATTGTTATGATCCACTCCCACTTAATAAATACATTATTGCTTCCTTGTGATTTTCTTAATTTTCTATACTAAGATCAAAGAAATAAGAGGGCAGGCAGAGCCTTTGAGGGCATGTTTTAGAATTTTCTCTTCATCCTAGAATCAAATATTAGCCAAGGATGAATTTTAAGTAGGTGGCATTATGATGGGCTTTGCATTTTGAAAAGACTAGTCCAGCTACAATACAGAGAATAGATAGGAAGGGTGAAAACTCCTTGGTGGAGCAGAGAGAAAGGTATTGTAGTTGAGTTTTGGAGGAGTAAAAATTTAAACATGATCCTTCCGTAGTTCATAAATGTGATGATCGGGTTTTCATGGGCATGTGTTGGATGTACCCTACTCAGCCCTTGTTACAAGGTTATCTCTTTATCTGTTTGGTATGAACTTAGAAAAAAAAAATAGAAAAATTAATCAATTAATTAACAATAATAAAAAATAGTTAAACATGAATTCTCCACTGCACGGTAGTTCAGGGCCTTCAACCCCAACATTGTTGAGTGGTCAACTGTCTATATATCAGTAGAAGGCCAAATGGACATACAGGAAATATGATAAGATGATTTCCTATTTTTATTACTCTGATAATACTCACTCAGCTTTTGGCATTTCATCCATAATTAACTGGGACATTTTCTTTGAAACTTTTGTAAGTACATGTCCTTCTAAATGTAAAAAAAAAAAAGAGAGAGAGAGAGAAAGAGAATGGATTATTTTTCAATTGGTCCTTTTTATAGCAGCTATCATTTAGTTATTATTCAAGAAAGTAAAGCAAAGCAGTAATGTGGCTTTTTAACTCCAGCAAATCTATACAGTTTACAGAATCACTGTTTTATAATCTATAAATATTTTAAGTGGAAAATTACCCATTCTTGCTGCTGCCTGTGGCAACTATTAATGGTCGCAAATATCTTGTACTTTAGTACCTCTAAGTGGCAGTTCTAAATAAAAATTGCAGTCCTACAAAAAAAAAGAAAAGAAAATGAGTCTTTATGTAACAAGTATGTATTGACTCAGTACTATATGTAAAGCAAAATATTAGACACCAGGAATACAAGAATGAACAAATCAACATGCTCTCGCAGAGCTTAAAATCTACCAGGAAAGGTAATTAATAATCAGATAATCATAGAACTAACAGAACATTGTAAAAAGGACAAAGTCAAGAAGTCAGTGGAAGTTTACCTAAAGAAATAATGCTTGGGCTGAGTTCTAAGAAATAAACAAGAATTAATTAGGCAAAAAAGATTTTTAAAAAAAGGAGCATTTCTGGCAGAGGGAATACCAGAATACCATGTGTAAAGCTCAGTGAAACGAAGGATTATGGGTGACAACCGTTCCAAAAAGAAGCCAGTAGGGCTAGAGTAGAGACTATTAAGGAAAAGACCAGAGAGGACTAAAGAGATATAAGCACATGCAGAGCCTTCAAAGTCATGTTATAGAATTTTATTCTTGTACTGGAATCAAAAATTAGCCATTGATGGATTTTATGCAGGTGGCATTGTGATTGGCTTTGCATTTTGAAAAGATCAGTCCAGCTACAATATAGAGAATAAATAGGATGGGAGCAAACTTCTTAGCAGAGCAGAGAGAAAGTTACTGTGCAGGAGAGTAATGATGATAATTTGATGTAATATAGTTTGATGGTAGTTGAGATAATAAAGCTGGAGAGATGTAGATCTTCTTGAAGGACATTTAGGAGATGAGTTTGACATACTTTGGAATTGGATTGGACGCGGATGGAGAGGAGAGGGTGTTGTCAAGGAAGACGTAAGATTTTAGCTCAAGTAACAGGATGGATGACCAGGCCATTCCTGGGCTGGGAACCTTAGAACAGGGCTACGTGTCACTACATTTGTGAATCACCTGAATTTGACTTGCTTTCAAGGTTTCCCATGAGTCAAGATATGTAAGTAGTTAAATATACAAGTCTAGAGGTCAAATACAAAGTCTGGGCTGGATTGGAAGAGGTGAGCCATCTGAGCATTAAAGATACTAATACGTAATATATGGTAAGAGTGGAGGAAGAATCTGCAAAGGTAATAGAGAAAGAAATACTAAAGAGGTAGATGAAATGCACTTGAGCATTATCATGGAAACCAAATATTGAGACATTTGCCATTCAATATGTTAGGGCTGTGAAACAGTAAACAGATAGGTAGATACATATATGATTTATTGATAGGTTGTAGATAGATATAAAAATAGATCAATAGATAAGGAAGAAAGAAAAAGAGAGAGGAAGGAAGGGAGGGAGGGAAAGGAAAGAAAGAAAGAACAGGGAGGGAAAGAGAGAAAGAAAGAAGAAAGAGAAAAGAAAGAAAGAAGAAAGGAGAAAGAAAGACAGAAAAGAAAAGAAAAGAAAGATTCCTATTCCGTGATATTAAGGATAGCACAATGGTGGCCACATGCTGATATTAAATATTACAATAATAATGCAAGAAAGTATATGGCTGTAATGACAAATAAGTTTAAAGTAAAATGGAATTACTGTGGGCTGGGATGTTCAGGGACACTTAATGCAGACAGGAGCATATAAGGATGGTCTCTCTCACTCACTCCGTTACTGTTTTATTTCAAAGATTATAGAGTATCTACATTTCACCAAACATTCCACTTGCTGAAACATATGCAAACATGCATGAAGCATGATTCTCTCCTTGTGTGACCTGGTGTAGGTTTAAAGATAACAAAGAGTCACACAGTATAGCCTAATTTGCTGTGTTCTAGCAGAAATGGCACAGGAAGCCATCAGAGCACTGAGAGGGAGTTCCTAAATCAGAATGAAGGAATCAGGGCCCTGTGTTCTGAGGTTTCAAGGACAGGTTGAAAAGACGCAGACTTATGAAGCATGTTGGGGAAAGTGAGAGATACAGAGAATTGCTTTTCAGGTAGCAAAATCAGCATCGTTTTAACACATAAAGTGGCGAAACTAGTTAGAGATACTATGGGTTGTTCTACATGGCATAGGGCAGGGTGACTCGCTGGAGATGACCCTGGAAAGGTAAGTAACAATCAAACTATAAAGGGTCTTGTGTCCAGGTAAGGAGGTTAGGTATTTTCATAAACACTCTCAGTCACCCATTGGCCATACTATCTTTCTTCAACTCTCCAAATTGCACCAAGCTCAAATGGAAAGAATGGGTCAATGAGAACCGAACAGGAAAGAGAGAACTGACCCCAAGTATATTACAGAAAACTTCAGAAAGGATAGCGTTAGATTCTACCTGTAAATTAAATGAAATAAGTTAATTTACAGGTTCCCAGGTGTTCACAATGCTCTTAGCCTCTGAGGAATTTCTTTACGCCACTCGTAGGACAAAATCAATACCTAACTGTTTCATTTATTAAGTTGTTAGCTACAAACAAATTAATAACTCTTTGTGTCCTGACAATTTAAAAATTATTTTAAGAAATAATACATAGACATTAAAAGGGATAATACCGTCTTTAAAATTAAATAATTATAACTACGAATGAGATGTGGGTGCCTGTTAAACACTGTGAAACTTTTCAACAATAGCTATGGTGGCAAAATAAAACTGCCTTGGTAGGTAAGCCCTCCTTGATTTGACAATCAAGGAATTCTGTAGCCTGCCTATGGCAAGTTTGAGATCCTACAGGTTTCTCTACATAGCATAGGACAGGGTATGTAAGACAGGATATGTAAAGCCTAATAGGCTTTCCTCTTACATACCCTATACTAGACTAGGCTTACATACCCTAGGCTTTCCCCTTACAAACCCTATACTAGAGCTACCCTATTAACCTCTACACCAACACATGCATGCCCTAACACCTAGACAGAATTCTCTGTCATCATCTCCATGTCTTCTCTGTCATTTAAGGGAGAGACATGGTAGAGATCCAGCCCCCTGTAACAACTGATGATTAAAGACTCACACACAAACACATACACAAATTGGTATCAGCAGACATTTGGGGCACAGAAAAAGCAGAAATAAGAAACCAGATGAATAAGCATAATTCAGATACCAAATAGACCTTCAGAATGTTCTAATTACTGCTGGCAAAGAATTAAAAATATTTCTCATAAAATCATAACAGGCTGCTAGAGAAAGTGAAAGCGTGCAAGCGTTCATACAAATTTCAAACATAATTTTATAAAGAAGAAAGTCATGTGCAGAACAATAAAATGAGCATGGTGGAATTTTAAGTTAGTGATCTGGGGGGTTAAAGTCCGGGCAATTTCATAAAGGATAGAAGTAAAAGACAAAGAGATGAAAAATTTCTAAGAATTCTAAAAAATACGAAGGTAAGTGAATAAGCTCTTTCTCCACCTACTAGTAATTCTAATAGGACATAACTAAGATTCCAAAATGAGTGGGGATAAAACTGATCAAAGATACATATTTAAAGTAATATAATAATATGAGACCGGAACTAAAGAACAACATAATATATTCAGATTGAAATGTTTTCCAACTACTGAGTAGAAATAATGACAAAAGAGAAAACTACATCTAGGCACAGCTTGTTAAAATTCAGAGCTCCAAGAAAAAAAGAAAGACAGATAAGCTACAAAGAAATGGAAGTCAAGCCATATGTGAACTGGTTTAAGGCATGAACACTGTTGGCAGACCATTTGCACTTTAATCTTGGTTCTGAAACATACTACAGTTCCATAAGCTTAGACAAATTATTTACCTTCTCTGAGTTTCCATTTACTCATCTATAAAATTGGAACAATAATATTATTAACCACTGACTGTGTAAGTCTACTGAAATGTACAAACTGATGGATACAAATAGATTAAAATAATACCTCGAACGCAGAACTCATTAAAATAAGCAACATTCCTGGATGTTTTGATAAAATAAAACATTTTCAAATTTCTAAAGAGAAAATAATTTGAACCTAGAATTCTGCATCTAAATACTGATTCAATTCATGGAGAAGGCAAAAAGATGTAATAAGACTTTTAAGAAGTTATAAATTTCACCAACCATGTATCTTTTTTCAAATTTCACTTTAAGTTCTCGAATAGACGTGCAGAATGTGCAGGTTTGTTACAGAGGTATGCATGTGCCACGGTGGTTTGCTGCACCTCTCAACCTGTCACTTAGGTTTTAAGCCCCCCAAGTATTAGATATTTATCCCAATGCTCTTCCTCCCCTAGTCTCCCTCCCCCGAACAGGCCCCAGTGTGTGATGTTCCCCTCCCTGTGTCCATGTGTTCCCATTGTTCAACTCGTACTTATGAGTGAAAACATGGTATTTGGTTTTCTGTTCCTGCGTTAGTTTGCTAAGAATGATGGCTTCTACTTCATCTATGTCCCTTTTAATGATACAGAACTACATGTCTTAGCAAAGGACATAAACGCATTCTTTTTTATGGCAGCGAAGTGTTCCATGGTGTGTA